TGGACTACAAACGAGATTGGTCTGGATTGGTTAAAACATTTTGATCATTCCACCCGGCGTCGGACAAAAGGGATATACCGGCTGCTCATCCTGGATGGCCATGAAAGCCACCACTCGGTCGCCTTCGAGGATTTCTGCAAGGCCAACAACATTGTTACACTTTGCATGCCTCCCCATTCATCACACTTTCTTCAGCCTCTCGATGTAGGATGTTTCAGCCCGCTCAAGGCCTCGTATGTCAAGCAAATCGAGCAGATGATGCGGATGCAGATCACCCACATTACGAAGGAAGACTTCTTCGACACGTTTGTCAAGGCATTCAACGCCTCTGTTACGGCGAACAACGTACGAGCAGGCTTCAGAGTAGCCTGCCTCGTTCCTTTCGACCCTGAATCGGTAATTTCTCGCCTCGACCCTAAGCCAATCACCCCATCTCCTCTGAGCTCGCGTCCCGGAACAGCCACATCTTGGGTCCCCAAGACACCCTCCAATGCGCACGAAGCGACACTGAGTTCCAGCACACTCAAGCGGAAAATTCAACACCATCAAGGTAGCTCCCCCACCCATATTCTTGACATTATCGACTTGCAAGCGAAGAGCATCTCGAAATTGGCGCATGAGATGGTGTTGCTCCGAGCCGAGACCAAAGAGCTTCGTGCGGCAAATAAGCGGTTAAGCAAGCGACGCAGAACCAGAAAAACGCGTTTGCAGGACGGAGGATCACTTAGTTTGCAAGAGGCAACGGTTTTGATGGGCGACCGGGGACTTGGTGGTCAGGATTGCGAGGAAACGTCCACGAGTGGTGGTTGTATAACCGTCGCTAAGCCACACGTTCGGCTTTGTAGCAACTGCAAGCAGCCCGGCCATAATGCGCGAACTTGTCAAGTAGTTAGAGAGACGTCTGAGGATAACGATTCCGAGTAATTTTAATTAATGAAGGGCGTTTTGGTAGAACTGACTTATACAAAGTAATCGAGGTCAGAGAAAAGTGGGCCACTCGCTATGCTGGGCCGCTCGCTATGCAAGTACGTTACCCCTTTTTTGTTTTTCATTTTTAGGACATTATGTATTTATCTCATTTAATCTTATTTTTATTTGTGTTTTTATACAATCTCTCTTTCTCCTCCTTTTTTTTCTCTGTTCATATGACCCCTCTTCTTTCTCCTTCGATTTTTTCATTCTGTTTCCCCCTCACCCCCTGGCAGCCCGCTCCCACTCACTGGGTATCACCATCAGCCTCCTGGTGTCTATCCACCAGCCCTCCCTTGGCCAGTCCGCAGAAGCGATTGCTCACCTCCCAGACATCATCCCCTTCGACCACCCGCCCCTCATATTTGGCCAGAATGACGCGCTCAGCGGGATTCCACCGGCACGTCAGCAGCTGCTGTGTGGTGTTCTGCTTCTGCCCAACGCGGTGGATGCGGTAGTAAGCCTGCTGGTTGTCGCGCTTCATCCATGCGGGGCTGGTCACGGTCGAGTATTTGGCCTTTTGCAGGTTCAGCCCGGTGCCGGCGAGGTCCATGGGCGCGACGAGCACGTTAGGGGGCGCGTTGCCAGGCTCCAGGAAACTGTCGATCGTCTGCTGCCGCTCGGCCTGCGTCATGCCGCTATGGATCCAGACTGGCTTGAGTCGCTTCTCTTTGGCCTTCCGCAACAAAAGGTAGCCGTACAGCAGCAGCGCCTCAGCCTCGAGAGGGCAGAAGATGCAGTATTTCTTGGCGTGTGCTGACTCGCCCTCAATGCGCGACTTGTCGTCCAGCATCGTCGTAACCGTCTTGTTGATGGTTTCCAGCTTGGGGCTGTTGGCTGCCCAGGTAGGGATGTGCCGGTAATAGGGCGTCTGCGCAATTTTGCCCTCGGCCCCTGACAGGACAGAGAGGATCTCGGGGACGGTGAATGTGAAGTCGGCCGAGGCGGGAGAGCTGGCGATACCCGGGAAAGGTGGACGCAAGCCGCAGCTTGAGTAGCAGGTCTTGGCCGGCATTGCTGCGAATAAAATGTCCGACTCCTTGGCCCGCGGCCGCGGCCGCCTGGATGGCAAGCTCGCCGATGTGGTCTGCGAGCGCCCGCAGCCCATCCATGACCGAAGCCGGCAGATGGTGGTCGATTATGCAAACCTTGAGCGGGCCGATGCTGGTCAAGTTCCTGTTCTGGAACTTGCCTGTTCCCAGCCGACGCACCATGGTGTGTTTGAATATTCGGTCTAGGCGGCGACGATACTCGAGAATATCCTCAAACGGAATCGCCTCTCCGTTGGCCTGCAATGATGCGAGCCTGTCGAAGGTATTGGTGAGGTCGTCAAACCTCCCGAGAGTGACGTCGTGCAGAGGATGGGCCTCGTCGCTCCAAGCCTCCTTCTCAAAGAGAGCAATGGCTGGACGGATGTCGGCAGGCGTCTCGCCAAACGGAGTGCCAGATACAAAGTACATCAGCGGAGTCGGGGACTGCGAATCCAAGGCGGATCTCTTCAGGCCATGGAGCCACACGGATGTCCGGCCGTCCTTGGAGCTGGCGTACTCGTGGAACTCGTCCATCAGAACCACGCCAGGCATATGGGCGCCGGCACCGGGCCCGTTGCTCAGCTTCGGGATCGACTCCGGCGACACGGTTATGATGTACTGGTCCAGGCCGAGGATTTGTTCATACGGATAGCCCTTAGGCTCATCGACGCCAGCTTTCTTGGCCGGGGCTTTGGCACGGAGTAGACCAATGTCGACAATTGAGAGCTGATCATCCTTGTTGGCGCCCTCATATGCCGCTCGCATCTTGAAGTGCTTGAGGTCAAGTTTCGTCTTTGCGTCCCGCATCATGGCCGCACAGCTTCTCGCAGGAGCAACTATGATGTTTGGCCCGTTTGGCAAACGGTCAGCAAGTTCCCTAGTGAGCTCGTTGTGGCAGTAGCATTTTGAGCTGGTAGTCGAACAAGCCGACCGCCATCCCTGGCAGCTTCTTGATGGGAACCCGCTTGCGTTCGGGTCCGTTCCGCGTAGGCAGAGATTCTCGCCTTTGATAATCCGCTATGTCGATGTTGAAGAACCGGAGGCAGGTGTGCCAGTCCGAGGGATTCCTCTCGCCTGTGTTGTAGCTCCCCACGTAGGTGTCAATTACGCTTAGGTCGAAAGCACCGTAGTCGTCGTCTTCCTCGTCGGCAATCGCGTAGTCATCCGCCGCGATGTCGACAATGTCAGCCATGATCGGTGGGCCGGGAGTCGGGGGCGAGGCGGCCACGGCCCCGGGTCGTCGGCCTGATGAAATCGTGTCCGGAGTAGGTCGGAGGCTGTCGAACGAACGCCAGGGTCTGAGAGGAGGTGCGGACCCCCGTGAGGTAGACGTGGGACGATTCCAGCCCCTTACCCCCAGCTGGGTAGGGGGCGAGGCGAGTCTCGACCCAGGGGTTCTGGAAGTCGAAGGCGCGCCTCGTGTCGCGGGGCGCCCCCTGGAGCTTGATCCCCTCAATTTCGAAGGAGGGCTAAGAGTAAGCCGGGGCTTGCGTTCCAAACCTGTAGGAGTGTAGGTTAGTACGTTCACGCGAGGCCGAGAAGGTTTCTCAGGAGCGCCAGGAGGGATACTTACTGATTCAGCCGTTTGTGTTAGGCTGGGTTTCTCAGAGCCAGCTCCCCCTTTATCTGACAACTCCGCGCTTGCTGCAAGGGATGGAGTTTTGGCAGGGTCGGAGTCTCCTGATTTCTGATTGTCGTGCGAGCCACTATGGTCCTCCTTGATGGTCTGGCTAGGAGTAATGGTCCTTGGGCTCACGCTCCCGTCGCTTGTCTTCTCCTCTGTTCGAGTAATATTGATTCCGGGCCAGGGATTCCGGAATTCGGGTGCTTCAGTGTCTACAGGCCCTGAGACCGTGGAGTGAGCGGTTGTTCGGGAGATGTTGGCTGAACAGCGACTTGAGGAGTATCTGAAGAAAAGAGAACCTTTGACTCGAGATCCAGGCCTTGTGTAGGGAGCTCAGTCTTCTGATCAACAGACTCCTTGACAAGACATCCTGGAAAGCTAGAGCCGAGTCGCTTGCTACGGAGCTTACGGCGGAATTCATAAGGATCGTCCCGAGGCATGATCAACAGAAAGACTTCCGTGTACCAAGCCACTACGACGCAGTGCTTGGTTATGTCGGAGAGGAGATCTTCCCATTCATACGCGCTGCTCAGCTGCTTTGCGTTATCATCTTCCAGCCCAAAAGGCGCGAACATGATATCGTGCTTCCGAGAATCGTAGCCCAGGCAATGGGTAAGCCACCTCTCAAGCTCAGCCCACCTATAGCTCCTGGGAGAATACTCTAGAAATTCCTCACGGATATTCTTGCTGACGAAGTTGGTAAGCCTTGCCCGCCTATGTTGGTTGGTCTTCCAGTTGGCGGCACTGACGTACAGGGTGGTCAGCCTGGCATAGTCCGCAGGAAAGCATGTTTGGTGCTCAGACGCCATTGTATCGTTTCTTAGTAGTAGCACCTGTTGTAAGTCTCAGGTTCCCAATATTCGCGTGTGACGAGAGTTGGGCTATGTTAGATGATTGGGTGGAGCTGTGTTGATGAATGTACAAACATTTAGACTGTAGACTGGCCAGTCTTTAATACTTTTTGCGAAGGTGAGATGGTAATCCATGACCAAAGCGGTGTTTGGTCCACGAACAAAGGGTTCATCGAAACGCATGTAGTGAAACAGGTGCTTTACCGATAATAGTCGACAACGTGATGATTCACAGTATGAGAACATGAAGAGCTTTTTTGGACTTGCGCACTCCCTGTCCCTTGAATAGGGACAATGCCATGATAGACAATCTCATGTCTAGAAGCAAGGCAGTCGCAAAACAACAAGGAGTGGGTATTCCGAGACCTGAGTGTAGGCTGTGGTAGTTGTACTTACTACCTAGGTAAGGTACCTGATTCACTGGAATCAGTCTCAAGTGACGGATTTCAATAACATAACTGCTATAAGGAGCCTAACCGGCCTCGGGTCGTCCTATGAGCCGAACTCTGCAGTGGTCCGTCCAAGTTCTAGTCTGTCTGTATTGAGTCTGATATCATACGGTGGTATGCGCTGTTCAAGCCTGGTATCAAACCTAAGGATTGGGACGACACTCAAAGAAACAGTGCCGAAAGAATGGTGAGACATCTCAACTAGAAGACTCGCTGTCAATGATTCAGGTATGGTTCCATTTGGGCGACAGAAACTGATGATTGATCCATTTGGGGACTGGAATGACCGTTGGAAACTGCGGTCACCAAATCAGCTTCCCTGAGGTATTTTGCAAAGCCAAGGTTAAGGTAGGTAGCCTTAGGCAAGCGCTTGATAACCTGGACTTCAAGTTCTGAACGCTCTTGATGTTTGTGCTAGTTGATGGGCCCGTCGGCAACTACTGCATGGTGTCCTAGAACTAGTTGAGTTGTTGACTGGCGGCCAATGGTGGGATCTCGTAGGCACCCTCCCTTCATCCCACTTACCACGTATTTCCTTGTATCTCGTGGGAATTGGCCCGATACGCCAGCTGTCTGTAAAGGAATTTTGGATGATCAGTAAGATATGAGATGATGCTGTTCTCAAAGTGAAGAACACCACCCAAGGACCGCTGACGTCAACCTGGTGTGGGTTAAGCTCAAATACAGAGGTTCGTTGGCCCCACACTGCAGTGCTGACCAGCACCTGCCACCTGCCGTCAATGCTGTGGTGCCAGGTGGGTCTCGCTTCCTACCCCGTAGTCCCAACTGTATCTTCTCAGGTACTGTACTGTACCTATCAGTCGCTCGATATCGGCCCCGTGGTCATTCCTGCTCGGTGACACTGAAAAATAAACAGGCAACCGTGATAATTGTTACACCCCTTCTTCTTCTTCTCGGCATCTTCGCGGCGTAGAAACCAGGAACTAGAAAATGAGTGTCCCAACCCAACTCCTCGAATCTCTCGCCAGCGCCCAGTCCCCAGACTCCACCGACAAGTCCGTCGCTGAGGCTGTACAAGCTTTCTGCGATGGAGCCACGAACTCCTCAACCGAAGAGTCCATCGGCGACTATCTATGGAACGCCTGCAGCAGCATCTTTGACGTGGTTGGGCGGACCCCCGCCGAACGGCAGCGCGGGTTGCTCGAGCTCATGTCCCGGCTGCGGCAGACAACAGTTAGCGACAAAGATGGACAACCGCTGAATTACGGAGGCGGCGTAGTGTGGAGGGACCTACCATTGTTCGGTTGGGTCGCGCGAGACCGTTGGAATCTTGGTGCGTGCCGCGTCTCTGCATTTTCATGGAGGCTTGCAAGCTGCAACCGCCAGAAGCTGACAAGGATTCATTCCACAGATGGCCTCAGGGCGTCTGCTACAGCACAGGAGCAGTCCATCTGGGAGAACTGGACCGCCTTTCTCGCCCAATTGACAGGGCTAGCCAGTGTCGACGACCGGCGGGGCCCGTTCAACTATTCGCTATTCGCACTGTGGTCTCTGAGAGCTGCTCTCGAGGACAAGCCATCAGAGGCGGTAAACAACGCTTTTGCCATCACGGCTGCCTCGATCTGGATCAGATATGCTGGGGCGGTGCTTCGGAAACTGTCCGCCGAAGGCCGCACCTTGGACGGCAATATGGGCGCTCCTGGAGGCAAGTTCGCTGATCGGGATTGGAAGGGGTTTAATGAGGAGAGGTGGACGGCGTGGAAGGAAGGATTCGAAGCAGCGCGAGGTGACGGAGAGGCGGCCGACAAAGCAGCCCGAGATGCGGCGAAGCTGATGGAAGACCTATAGCCCGGCATCCTCGGAGGCTCCGTTAATAACCCCATTCCGTGGTGTAAGTAGTTGCCGGGTCGGGTCCGGCTCGACAAGGATACCTAGGTGGTAGGTACCGTACTATTTGTGGTCAAAGCAACGACTCGATTATCTCAATGTGTTCCTAGAACCCTGCGACGCAGATTAGCAGCTGCCTAGAATATGCGGGGTTTTCACCAACTTCAATGATCCGGAGATACAGATTCGGTCGATCGACTCCCTTTACCGTACATTCATTAGCTCTTCGACGTATCGTTACCGTTCTTTTCCCTGCATCGTTGATGAGTAGGTAGGTTTGAGGTTTCTTCATTCGTCGAGTCCTGCAGTGGTTGATGCTAGAGTTCCATCTACCTACTACGGGGATTCTTCCCACGTTTCTGAACTCCCTATTCGGCGTCGCATCGCCTCATCACGCCGCTTGACTCCTGTTTCGTAATCGAGGCAACGCTGAGCTGACTGGATGACTACACGGATCCAGCATCCCAGATCCGAACATGAGATTAAGGTGCCTTGAGATGAGGTCATAACTGTGGACCTGTATCGAACGAGCCCGGGTATGATAGTAGACACTTCCCTCGAGCATCGGCAGTCTGGAAGAACCATGGACAATGTAAGTGTTTACAAGGCCGGAGCTAATAATTCACAATGAGTTACATAGAGGTTGTGAGAACTTCATAACGAAACAAGGTCACGGTTTCTGACATGAAGAGAGGAAGAACTTGTAACGAAATCAACATGCCATACTAGCTCAAAACTCACCTACCTGGGTTCGGGGACCCTCGGGCCCGAAGTTGAACGTTTTCGCTCCCGGACCCAACTCCAAGTGGATCATAAGTGATGTCGAAAAAGTAGACGGCCTTATTAGCAAGGATGCGACCAGAAGATGTACACACCAGGCTGGGTCGTCGACTCCACATCCTAACACTATCCCATTGTACTAAGTGGCGCTTTACTCCCGGCTATATGCGGCGGACAGAGTAGCGCGCCCTGCTTAGCATTATTGTGTAGCGTACGTATGATTCCTGACTCGACCTCGTCCATCCAGCCCCGACCTGGGCTCCTCTCAGCTGCAGGGGCTCAGAAAGATTGTAAGTAGACCCCTCATACAATTGAATACGCTGCTGATGGCAAGCTCGAGTGTGTATGTACATACAACTAACCTACAGCGTTATGCAGTATTGTGCATACAGACAAGTACGATACTGTCTCGATGAAGTGAAGCCATCTCTTCTTGCATTCCTCAGCGCGAGGCCAGTGGAGCTCACATGTATCGTTAGGGATACCTGGTCTTGAGGACTGGATCAGCTACCTACCTCAGGGCAGGCATTATTGCTCTTTCTAGTGTATCATGCTTTATCTTATTTCCGCGTAATTACCTCCTGCCCTCAATTTGAAGGGTTACTCTCTCTTAATGTTAGTCAAGTCTAACCAGGTCATGGCATCATCGTAGTGCGTTTGCGCTCTTGGGTAGCTCTAGTTGATATCGGCCCGACAGATATCAACGGTACCTTAGTCAGGGTACGCCCTGTGCAGCGAGCTCACCGCTACGACGCTGGAGAGAGGTGACAGCCGGTGCGGGAAAGACATCCTGTGCAGCAGTAATTAATAAGGTAGTCTGTGATTCGGATACAATGAGATCCACCGGCGATGTCGTTACTCTGCCCTCATCTGCCCCAGTGGTCGGCTCGGACACATTGACGGGCTTCGAGTCGATTGCCGACTTGGGACGGGTATGGCGAAGTCACAAAGCAGGACGATCATCCCAACTTCCCGGGGCGCAATACCCCTTACCCACCGCCTGGTTCTTGAGTGTCAGCCTGCAGAATGGCAGAACCCTTTCCCCGCAGCAGGCCGATGGCACGTAATGCAGGGGATTCAGATCAGGATCTCCACGTCACGCAATGCAAGGACTGTAGTTGGAAAGGGGTCAATTCGAAGGAACAATAGGGTTGGGTAGGTACAATACCTAAGGTCTTCAGACCCATCACAAAGGAGCAACTTGCATAATGCATACCTTGATTGCTACTTGCCTACAGATCGCGATAAATCTTTGGTGCAACGCAAGGCAGGGAGATCTCGCAATCCGAAGGAAGGCAGCCGCCATTGACGTTAACGTTAAACATTACGGGGGTAATTAAAGGAAGTCACTGTGGGGTTTCGAAACGCTCTCCCTTCCCCTGGGTCGTAGACGCTAGCGCACGATGACCAGACACGGAGATGTCCGCCGCTAAGTTAGGGCACTAATCCGTTGGCCTACAATTGGAGGACTCGACAGGCCGCTTCCGACAATGAATTGTTATTCGCCAACTGGGGAGGCAGCAGCAGTTCGGTAGGTGGCTCTCTCCCGGTCTTGAGGCTGGGCTTCGGACGTGGGGAGGCTCGGCGGGTGGGCCGCCGAATCACGTTCAAATTGCCTTTGGCCAGGTGAAGCTGCAGTGTGTCCGCGGTTTTCCCCCAAAACCCAAACCCAACTCGCATTCCTGCCATTGCTGCTGCGCTACGGCACTCGCACCCGCGCATCCAACCTTTTCCTTCCCACGCTGTATTCCCGAGATCCCGCGACCGTGCGCGCATCATAGCGAGCACTACGACCATAGCGACCAGAATTAGCGATCATAGCCTGCGGTTTCCCATCTTCGCGACCGACCGTTGGTTTCCGACAAGAACCCCGCACACAGGGCTGCGCCGACAAAGGGTCTGACGGCGCCCCCAACCATGGTGGTGCTGTCGCCGCTGCCGATCGGCCGTCGCCTCACTGCTCCTACAGACACGCTCCGCTTTGTGCCCACGGCGCCGTAGCCCGGATCTGCCAACGGCCCAACACCCCGATGGATCGAAGCTCATCATCCCCAGAAACTGGGGCCTCGGCCCTGCTCGCCGCTGCCAGAGGCGTGACGGGCCTCGTGTTGGATGACGACGACCCAGAAGTGTTTATCAAGGAGGAGTCTTTAAGCCCCGTGCCGGACAATGACAAAAAACTTGTCGTCACGCGGGTCTACCCGCCTCTCAAATTCAAGCCGGGCTTTCAGGCCCGAAGCTTAACAGGGACTGTGGCAGGCCGGACGGGCACGGCTGCCAAATCAGCCAAGCACGGCCGAACAACAGGAGCATCCAAAGCTGCCGCCATTCGAGATCATGCTCCTCAGCCATCGGCGCAACCAATCGTGCCACGCCGGATCGAGGATTGGGAGCCCTGGAAGGGGGTTCTTCACGAGCTCTACATCACGCAGAACCGTATTCTCCGCGACATAATCAGTATCATGGAGACTGAATATAACCTCAGGGCCACGTGAGTCAGCTCTGAATAGCTTCCCCGAGGTAAAATTGCTGGATGTTAACTCTCAAAAGACCCAAAATGTACAAGAACCAGTTTGCCCGCTGGGGCTTCTTCAAGTACGCCGTCAAGAGGCGGCCGCGGGGCAAGACCGAGTCGCCAACCGAACAGAGCTCAGACGACTCTCTCGATACCGCCATCATCCTGCACAGTGATGGCCTAATGTACGATAGCGAAAGGTCGCAGGCCATGCAGGCCGGGCTAACAGCAGTCCGGCGCTTTGTCCGCGGCTACCTTGACCTCGACCCGGCTCACCTTACCGTCGAAGAAGTCGCAGGCTTCATCGATCCCTGCTACCGCTATTTCAAAACCGCCATGGACCTTTTCGATCTCAAGGAGAATACGGCCGGCGGGTCCGTGCTGCGGCTCGCCTTTCTGCAGATCGAGCGCAAGATATCAAACCCGACCATGAAGTCCTTCTCGGATCTGTGCTTCCTCGTGCCGCACCTCCTCCTCGAATCCGGCCGCAGAGACATCCTCGCCGCCTACCTGCGCTACCTGTACCGACTCGCCGCCGTCAAGTTCGGCAAGCACCCCGTGACGGAGCTCGCCGCCTCGTTCGCGCGAATGGTTGACCAGCCCGACGAGATCATGCGCTACATCATGCTCCTCTCGCAGATCAATTCGGACACCATCTCCAACACGTCGGGCATCCTCGACCGCACCGTCCGCTGGGCGCGGTATCAGTACCTCGCCTGCCAGCGCACAAACATGACGGAGCCCTTCCCCGTCGGGCGCAATCGGCACGACCACCACATGATCCGTCTCGAGGCGCAGTCGGTTTATTGGGCGCAGAACCTAGTCATGCAGGACCCGGAGAGCGATGAGATTGCCGAGCAGTGGCTCAGCCGGCAATTTGGCGAGAATTTTGCCCCGCGCTGCGAGGCAGCGTTGGCGAGGCTGGAGGAACGGGCCGCTGCGGGGGAATTCTCGCCTTACTTTTCAAAGATGATCGAATGCCTCTATATAGGATGGCTAAGCGACTACTATGAGACGGTGCAGGAGTGGGATAAGGTGTTTGAGTGGGGCCGGAAGGGGCTGGCCTTGTCGAGGGAGGAGCAGTATATCATATGGTCGATCCATCTCGAGGGGTTGATGCGCAAGCATGGGAATCCGGAGGAGGCCGAGGAGCTGAAAAAGAGGAGGATGGCGCTTGGCTGGCTGGAGAAGGTCAGGCTTGAGGTGGATAGGCTCAGTCTTAGTTGACATTGTGTTGTCAGGGGCCATAAGTGTCACGGGTGGCAAATGCCACGGGTCGGTGGGGATCGTCCTTCGTCAGGGTCACTGGCGTGTAGCACTAGCAAAGGATTTTGGATAGGCGTTGTCGGCAACGGTCATGGCTAGGCGGTGATGGGATACCTACCTAGTCTGCGTTTAGGAATCTAGTTCTGGACAGCAGGCAGCTGCTGATCTCTTTGATATCATGAGACAGACTCTCACGAGGTCTCTTAACTTTGAAACCTATTTTAACCTAAATGGTGGCTACCTTTCCTCAGACACCACGCCTCAAAAGCGGCATCAGACTTCGGGGTGGCAGCATTTTTACGCAACTACCTAGTACCAATCGGGTCCATGCCACATGTAATAGACACTTTACATCAGTACTCACCAGCTTTCAGGTTGTTGAGGATTACTTTGAGGCATTGAGTGTTGGCTTGACTGTTGAGTGTAGACACTAGTAATGCACGAGGATCAAACTCTCACAAGAATAAGACGCACCATGAGAAGTTGACTGTAGTCTGTAAGGATTTGCTTTGTGTTGATTAAGAACCTGACAACTGTCCTATCGAGGGCCCCTGGACCAAGGTTGACGCATACAGGCCATCCTCCGGCCCAGCACGCAAATCTCAAGGAGTCAAAGAAAGAGGACTGGAACTTATGTATACAGTACGGACGTCTGCTACCTTTGTTCTCTGAACTCTCTAAAGCTGCATTCAGTTCGCACAAAGAGCTGAGACCAAGCTACTTTACACCCAGCTTGTTCCATGAGTACAGTACTTAGTAACATGGAAAGTACGAGTGAGGGTTGCAGGAGGATCAAGCAAGGAAATTTTGAAGGAGCTGTGGAATGGAAGAGGTGCTTGAGGGCGTATGGCAAGAGCGATTCCGGGTTGTGAGTCTTCTGAATCATGGTATCTGGTTGAAACCTTTCCCAGATCGTTGTAACCCGCCTGTTTTCTAAGCCGTACGTTTGACTTTACGATAAACCATAATTTCTCAGCATTTTATTCTCTGTGATACCATTTGTTCTGATAACAAAGCAATCCGCCATCACAAGGATGGCGAACATGCTCTCCTTTCCTGTCACAACCTCCCCCGTCTCAGGCTCTTTTCCCTCGGCTCTCTCCTTCATATCATGATTCGATGCATACCTTGAGCACATATGCATAGAGGCCGTTTCCGGTTTCATTACACTCTCAACACGTCATAGACCACACCTGTGCTTGTACATACACGAATAGGTTGCTGTGGGAAATCGCTTCTACGGTAATACCTGGGCGCTTAACGAGCTACTTGCGGCAACTTAGCTAGCTGTCTAGCTGGTTCGCTACTAAGTACATGCCTAGCAAAGTGTACCGACCCTCATCCTGAACGTCGTGATGTCCGATATCCAACGAAGGACCCGGTCGTCGACCAATCCTCCTTTGAAGCTTTTCATGTCAGCAACCGCGAGTACCCCGGCCATTGTCTCCTCCTGGATCTACTTTCTCGGAAGCGCCTTCTGCACGTGCGACCAGGTCAAGATTTCCGCAGGCTCGCCTCGCGGCAGTTCATGTCTACCCGGACGAGGAAGGGGAATCGGAGCAAACGGACACCTTCGGTGGCAAGATATTCCCTGGCTTCGGTCACTTGCAGCGTGAAGGAAGGAATGTCCAGGGGCAGCCTAAGGCAGAGGGGTTATGGAAACAAGTGTGGAACAGGGTCCATCTGGCCCAGACATCGGAGTCCGCTGCGAACCTCAGGGTCGGGAATCGCATCGCCGGCTGGCCCTACCGGGAATGGATGGCAGACCTCTATGAAAGACCACCTTTCAATCTCCTAAAACACGTTTTCATGTGGATGCTGGGCGCTTTGGCGGATGCTTGGGTCATCTTCGCCGCGGCAGCTATCTTCGCCCTCATTTTTGCCGCCCTCATCACCAGGGTTGACCGACCTTATTGCAGCCGAATCAATACAGAAGGCAGGGGGCCAACAGCAAGATGGGAAACATGGCGGCGCTGTGCCCTAAGCAAGCCCGAGCCGTTGCGCAAATATCTCAACGCATCCGTGACGCTCATTACCGGAATGCCGCTCCACTATATCGATGCGTTGATGCCCCTAGTAGAGCCGGCACCCGGGACCGCGCCCGAGATCTTCCTCCCAGATGTTGCTGCACAATATCATGCGCGGGCAAGGAAGCTCTGCGCTGATCTCCGGAGCATTTTGCAACGCCCCTCAGGCCTCCCGTCGTTTTCGTCACTAACTCGGGTGGAGCAACCTAAAGTACGTACGGAAGAAGCGAAGACAAAAGCAAAGAGGCTCTGCGACAGCTATATGGCTGCGAGTCACCAAGTACACAGAACGATGCGGGACGTGTGGGAAAATCTCCGAGGCCCAGGTAGCGCACCTGCACCATGGGTAAGATGGCTTAACACGGCGCTGTCGCATACGAGACTCAAAGTGTGGACGGTGACAGACGGGCTCCGCAGGGAGGAGGAGGAAGAGCGTTACTGGACGGAGAGGGCCGGTGAGCTGGACGAACAGACGTGGTCAGCAAAGCGAGACATTGCCTGGCACTTCAAAAAGAGATACAACAACGGCATCCTATTTGCCCTCTTGTGGGAGGCCGACTGGGATATCTTCCACGATGCCGTCACAGAGACGCTTACCACGCTGCGGAAGGCGTTGGGAGAGCTAAGGGGCCTAGAGGAGCATGTATTGCCCATGGTGGAGCGCGTGTTAACAAAGAGGACGGCAAATGATAATCCCAACGCCGAGCCCACCATGCCCGAGAACGGCGCCGGATCTTGGTTCAAACTTTGGGGCAAGGGCGGTAAAGAGAGAGGATCCGCAGGGAGCTTGGAAGATCGACAGCTTATGGAAGCCGAAAAGACGTTGAAAGCCCTCCGGGAAGTGGACATATCACGCCGACGAGTGCTACACAACGCTGTCAATCTGGCGGCATGGCTGACCGCCGGGATACAAAGTGATTTTGCGAGGATAGCGGGACGGTGGCTGGAGCTACACGGCTGCGAATGGCGCGAGCCAGTCGTCTCGTTCTCGCCTTACAAGGGATCCGCCAATTTGTCGTCGTCCACATTCGCTTCTTCGTTCAGGCCGGAGTCCATCCCGGGCGTCAGTGCACTTCTAGAATTGTTGTTCGGCACGATTGAGTATACACTTCCCCCGGGCGATGAGATCTACGATCGTCTTAGCCGTGTTGGCAGAGAGGCTGGAGAGCGGATTGAACTGGCCGAGAAACGGATTGCTTCTTACATTCAGGGGGGCGGTTCAATCTGGGATCCCAGGAAATTTCAGCGCAAACCGTATTAGCAAGAGGCTTAAAGGAGTCGGGCCGCAACCTTTAATGTCTGCTTACATGCCCTCACATCGTGTATGCATACCAGGAATGCTTGGAGGAACAGGCTCTTGGGTGGCCACGTCTTTATACTGTACAGTACAGTACAACGTACCCGCTCTCCAGACTGTCCAGGAGGTCAGAAACATCATGATGCTGTTGCAACCCCTGAGTACCACCTTACGGCGTAGCCGACCATCCCTGCAGCACGTTTCCAGATATGGTCAATCCCGCAGGTGTTGGGGATAAGCCGACTATTGTGCGGGGAACCTCGGTTGATTGACTGCGATCCTACTGGTAATTACTGCATGTACTTTAGGATTCTTGAACCGCTGTCTCTTCGTTGACGTTCGAAGCCGCTTGTTCCTTCGACCTACCGTGATTGCAAAACCCGAAGGTTATCACCATGGCCGGCCCCAGGATCCCCTTCTCTGAACCGCCATGGCTAATGGGCCTTCCGTCGCCATACTTTTCCGCCTCCCACCGGGCGTGGCAGGCCGCCATCCGGCCGTTCGTGCAGACGTACCTCCACGCGCATGCCGTCGAGTGGGAGCAGGCCGGGACGGTGCCGGAGCACGTGTTTTCCGAGTTTGCCGCCGCCCACATGCTCATCCCCGCGCTGCCCGCCCCGCTGCCCGTGGCCTGGCTGAAGCGGCTCGGCATCCACACCCTGCTTGGCGGGCTCCCCGTCGACCAGTTTGACGCGCTGCACGGATACATCTACGGCGACGAGATGGCGCGGAGCGGCTTGGTGGGCCCCGGGGCAAGCCTGACCACGGGCATGGCGTTTGGAGTGCCGCTCATCTTGAAGTTTGGGAGCGAGGAGCTGAAGGAGGGGCTTTTGCCTGATCTTTTGACGGGGAGGAAGAGGTGTTGCATTGCGATTACCGAACCCGATGCGGGGAGTGATGTGGCGGGCATTGTGACGACGGCCGTGAAGAGCGCGGATGGGAAGGAATGGATTGTTAATGGGAGTAAGAAGTGGTGAGTAACTCTAAAGCCGACGTATTACTCCTGGCAGTCCGTTTTTGAGTGCGAGGGGAGGTCTGATCGTGCTAACGATGGCAAGGATAACAAACGGCATATGGTCCGATTACGCCAGCATGGCCGTCCGCACCGGGTCTCCCGAAAGCGGCGCAAATGGCATCTCTCTGCTGGTTGTCCCCCTCAAGGGCCATCCGGGAGTCACAATGCGCCGTCTAAATGTCTCGGGCTTCGTCTCCTCGGGCACAACCTACATTGAGCTCAACGACGTGCGGGTGCCTGTCGAGAACTTGATCGGCAAGGAGAACCAGGGAATGCGCTACATCATGACCAACTTCAACCACGAGCGGCTGGCCGTGGCCACGGGCACTACACGGCAAGCGCGAGTCGCTCTCTCGACCGCGTTCGAGTACGTCCTCAAACGTGTCGCGTTCGGCAAGCCCCTCATCGAGCAGCCCGTGGTGCGCCACCGGCTCGCCAAGGCCGGCGCACTGCTTGAAAGCTTGACGGCGTGGGTTGAGCAGTTCGCCTTTCAGATGACTCAGTTGCCGAGCCAGCAGGCCGACGTGCAGCTCGGCGGGTTAACAGCCTTGCTGAAGGCTCACGCAGGGATGGTCTTTAAGGAGTGTGCCGATGTGTCGGTGCTCCTGTTTGGAGGTAACGGATACACCAAATCTGGGCAGGGCATGCTTGCCGAGAGTGAGTTTCACTCCACGGGCCAAAGAAGAGACTGACCACTAATGGTGAAATGCCGCTGTAGTGTTATATCGGGAGGTCATGGGGACCAGGATTCCGGGGGGCTCCGAGGACGTGCTTCTCGACCTTGCCGTACGGCAGTTGGTCAAGATATTCAGCATCCAGACCAAGATGCTGATGGCCGCGGAATCATCGAAGCTCTGAGCCAGCTTCAATGCCGGCAAATGTTGTGGATCCAGCAACCCCGGAACAGTGGCTGCAATGTCTGGCTTCGATCCTCTAGCCAGAGAGCAATGTCCGCGGTGCATCAGTTTCCGGGACCTAGTTGGACTCGGGATCTCACCACATTAGGGGACTGTGGACGATGCTTCTCACTGAAGACTGCTGTCCACTCTCCAATTCCTTGTGCGGCATCTCCTTGGGAACGGCATCTGAGAAGAGTAAGGACATATAGTGCGAGTCTCGTGCATTGTATGTCCAAGCCGTGATGGGCAAAACTCTCCATAAACCTGGCGGGATCTCGTGAGAACGCATGGATTGAAGTTTGTAACAGGCGCATCAGCTCTAATCTATCTGCCGCCGACCGGAAAACTGCCTGCGAAGCCCGAGACAGGGCAAACTCGAAGGCGTGCCGCACAAAACACAAAAGCAATGACGAGGAGTCTAGTGGAAAAGCGTGCGCATTAAGATCTGAACCTTCCGAGGGGAGGGGGGGGGTTAATACCCGCGCGAGCCAGTAAGGCTGGGTTGGACTTTCCTCCGTTCGGGTTGGAGGGTATTCAGGTCGGAAGACAGCAAGAGCAAGGGAGAAGAGGCAATGCAGTGACTGGACACCCCAGGAGCAGGCTGGTAATTTTCGACACAGTGAACAGCGGACGACGGGCAGAACAGGCAGCTTACCTACTGCATCGGCACAACCCCCAATTGTATTGTATTTTACATATCAAGGGGGAAAAAGATAGGATCTTGAAGATTGCAAAATGGCTACGCAAATGTAGCATGCTTGCTCTCCTGATGAGGTACAAATGGGCCAACATCGTGTAGGCGGTGATTGTAACTTGGCGAGCTTGGGTAGGGCAGAAGGCTGTTTCGGACGAGATTCCGTGTTGGCATGTGGTGTGGTTCCTGGGTGTCGCACTCAGGGGCCAGAGGAGTGGTCGTATTCAGGGCTTTGGTAGTGGGGCTGGTCCGCCCAATCGCATGGCAGGCCTCCGCATCCACACATTTAAAATGCAGAAAATTGTCAAAGGATACTCCGTACATGGCTCCTGGACGAGATGACTCCAGATCGAGAGTTTTCAAGCTGCCTCTTTCTTGATTCGGGTGTAATACTACATCGTACAGAAGCTTGCCTTCCCAAATTGATATCCTGCGTCAATGAGGCCGGCAAGCAACATGAGCAATTTAGAGAACAAGTTCGCGCCGGAGTGCTCCATAGTATTACAGTAGCAACATGTTGCAGCACCCAAAACCGACCACTGCTAAAATAAATAACCCTGGATGCCTCGCTTCCTATCCGCACCCCCACTTCCCTCTCGGTCAGTGCCCACCCCCTTGCGTGAACGCCAACCACCCTATTGACCCGGGCGGGAAGGTGTCCAATTGCTTCCATGCCAGTCCTTTATCCTGCAGCTTTCCCGCTGCCCAGTCCACCACCTGGCCTTTTCTTACTTCAGCTCTGCTCAGCACAATCTTTTCCGTCAAACATTCCAACCTAAACGCCGGTGCCATCCGCCATCGCCATCCGTCAGCGCCCACAGTCTAAACTAAGCGGTAAACTGACTTTAGCATCAAGTCCTTTCTCTCATCGAACAGCCGAGGGCACGAGACGGCTTGTTCGCGTGCTCCGGCTCGCTCCCCGCATCGCTAGTCCACTTTTCCCGCCCGTGCCGAGTCTACGATCCTTGCTTGATGCCCTCTCCTGACTCGGCTTCGCCAACGCCCGCGTTGTTGTCCCCAAGATGTTGCGACGGCCACCTGGCCATGTCGCTCCACAGCCCAAGTACCTTTTGGCACTTGCACTCATCCTCCTCCCGTGGCTGCCTCTCGCCGATGCTCAGCAGCAGCACCAGCGCCCGTCAGTCCCCGTCCAGCAACTGAGATCCCCGCCCGAGGCCGATCAGCATGTCGCCCAGAACCTTGCCGCGACACCCGTGACGGGCCAAAAGACAGCCGAGACTCCTCTCATCCACCAGCGACGGAAGACGACTGTCGCCGAGAACGTCGACGACGGAGGTCGTGTCCCGCCGCGGCAGCTATCTGGCTCCAACAACATACTCATTCCTGACGATGCGCGCGCCCACGCTTTGGCTCCGGACTTGTCCGTTCGAGCACCGCCTCCATCCAAGTATAGACCCCCTGCACCCGGGGGTGGACTCTCGCAGCATCTTGCGCGGAGTCTGGAGGACTGGGAAGTGGAAGACTTTGTTCTTCTGGCGACCGTCGATGGAGACCTCTACGCTAGCGACCGCAAGACCGGTCAAGAACGCTGGCACTACAAGGCCGGCCACCCCTTGGTCGAGACTAGACATTTCCGAACCAACCGCTCCGTCCTCGACGAAGACTACGAGCCCATCGACCATTACATCTGGGTCGTTGAGCCCACCAGAGACGGAGAGCTATATTTGTGGAGGCCCAGCGAAAGCGGCCCCGGCCTCGCCAAGATGGCCTGGACAATGAAAAAGGTTGTCGAAGAGCTTGCACCCTTCAACGACAAGGCCAACCGCGTGCTCTACACGGGGGACAAGAAGACTACCATGGTCACTTTGAACGCGGCAACCGGAACCGTCATCAAGGAATTTGGCTCCACCGGCAGCTACGTCAACAAGGTCGAGTCCGAGAGCTGTCTCCAGCCGAACGCTTTGGCAGATGGAGACAGTGAAGAGTGTAACGACGGCACCATAACGCTTGGCCGCACCGAGTACACGGTCGGCATCCACCGCGCTGACGGCAGTCCGATCGCCTCTCTCAAATACTCGGAATGGGGTCCAAACACCCAGGACCACGACCTCATTCAGCAGAACCTGATCACCAAGGACGGCCGCTACGTCGCCAGCCAGCATGATGGCAGGATTTACGGGTTTGACTTTGAGCGTCCCAGCGAGGGCCGCCCCATTTTCACCAAGACTCTATCTTCCCCCGTCGCCAGGGTCTTTGATGTCCTTCGCCGATGGGGTGGCGCGCCGGATAAGGAGCCCGAGCTGATTGCGCTACCACAGCCGCCCTTTCCTGCCGGTGACGAGGACAGCTTACGCCTTCGGAGCGACAAGGTGTTCATCAATCAGACCGAGGAAGGAAGCTGGTATGCTTTATCGGGGAGCCGTTATCCTTTGATCCTGTCTGCCCCAGTCGCACCCATCCATACGCTCGGTTGGTGGCAGATTAAAGATGCTTGGGAGCTCCTGAATGACCCCGAAAAATCGAGCGCACTGGTGGGCACGCACCAGCTACCAGACGTCCTGGTTGATAGGGTCGCACAAACGCCCTTGTTACTAGATCCTCCTCGCGAGCATGACAACGTCAGTCCAACAGACGCCGGTATCACTGGCTCGCTCTCCTCCCTTTCCCCAGAGACGAGTGGAATTTTTGACACTGCATGGAGAGTGCCGGAGCTCGCCATAGTCAAGGTCGTCGACTTGGTCAGCAACCCAGCTGCTATAGTCCTCTTCTTCCTAGCTCTCATGATGTACAAGGACAGGATTCTGAGCGTTGTATGGAAGTCCTGGAGCAAGGCCGCTTCCTTGAACCCGCAAATTGAAATCAAACCCACGGTTCCGAGCCCAGCCGCTTACCCTGAGGACCGACCTGAAACCCAAGTCGGAAACGCAGCTGAAGACGCGGCCGCGATTGACCAGCCGGCAGAGCCAAACCTACCGACACCGCCAGCGGCTCCAGAGGAGGCTCCCGCGATAGCTCAGCCTGATGCTCCTGAAGCGGCTGCTGGGCTGGCAGCTGAAGGATTGGACGCCGCCGCGGGTGTAGAAGGCGCCAAGAAAAAGAAGAGCCATAGGGGCCGCCGAGGCGGCGTAAAACATAAGAAAGGCAACAAGGACAAGCGTGAAGGGTCACAGTCCCGTGATGAAGGTTCGCCCCACGAAACTATAGATGAGGTTGTCAACAAAGCCAAGACTCTTGGTCGCGAGCCAAAGCTGGAGCCGGATATCATCACCGTTCCCGGAAATGTCGACGAGGTCTCTGGGCAAATCCTCAAGATGGGAAGCCTAGAGGTCAATGAAGCCGAGCAGCTGGGCACGGGGAGCAATGGCACCATTGTGTTTGCTGGGAAATGGGATGGCCGTGATGTTGCCGTGAAGCGTATGCTGGTGCAATTCAACGAAATAGCAAGCCAAGAGACTAGGTTGTTGAGGGAGAGCGATGATCATCCCAATGGTAAGCAGAGTCAAGTCTCCAGCACTCGGCCAGGCTGACTGACACGAACAGTGATCCGCTACTACGCCCAACAGGAGCGGGCTGCTTTCCTCTACATTGCGCTAGAGCTCTGCCAGGCCTCGCTTGCCGACGTCGTCCAAAAGCCTAACATGTATAGGGAGTTGGCGCAAGCGGGCGAGCGCGACATGCCAGGGGTGCTCTACCAGATTGCCAATGGCTTAAGCCACCTTCACAGCCTGCGCATAGTCCACCGCGACCTCAAGCCGCAGAATATCCTCGTTAACATGGGCAAGGACGGCCGACCCCGCATCCTCGTCTCAGACTTTGGCCTGTGCAAGAAACTGGAAGGCGGACAGTCGTCATTCGGCGCCACGACCGCCCACGCCGCGGGGACCAGCGGCTGGCGGGCGCCTGAGCTCCTCATCGACGACGATGCGCCAGGACATAACGCTATGGCCCTTACAGACCCGAGCTCCAGCTTGCATAGTGGCTCGGTCGGGCCCGAAGTCTTGACCGACGGACGTCACAGCCGCCGTGTCACGCGGGCCATCGATATCTTTTCCCTCGGACTCGTCTACTTTTATGTTCTTACCCGCGGCAGCCACCCCTTCGACTGCGGCGACCGTTTCATGCGGGAAGTCAACATTCGCAAGGGCACGTACAGCCTCCAGCTTCTCGACGCATTGGGAGATTTTGCCTTTGAGGCGCGCGATCTCATCGGGAGCATGCTCAATGCCAATCCAAAACTGCGTCCTTCGGCGCGCGACGTTATGGCCCACCCTTTCTTTTGGAGCTACAAGAAGCGTCTGGCGTTTCTGTGCGACGTGTCGGACCACTTCGAGAAAGAACCCCGCGACCCGCCATCGCCAGCGCTGGCCGAGCTGGAGAGGCATGCGGTTGACGTCGTTAAAGGCGATTTCCTCAAGCACCTGCCGCGCGAGTTCGTCGACAGTCTGGGCAAGCAGCGCAAGTACACGGGCACCAAGATGCTTGACCTGCTGAGGGCTCTGCGGAACAAGAGGAACCACTACGAGGATATGCCCGAAAGCCTGAAGAAGACTGTTGGGCCGCTCCCTGACGGGTACCTTGCGTTTTGGGCGAGGCGGTTCCCCAACTTGCTGATTGTCTGCTGGAACGTCGTGTATGATTTGCGCTGGGAGAATACGGATCGGTTCAGGGATTACTATGTCCCTGCCCCGCCGTCAAGTTTGTAGGCCCAGGGAATAAGTGGGTTTACGCGGAGGACAAGGGCAAGATTGTCTGGTTGGTTCGTCTTATTCCGGGTTGTTGAACCTGCGTGTGGTTTCAGTCAGTGTTTCCTCCTTACCAAGTAACAGTTTTCGCTTTGTTCTTTTGCTTTTTGCTTGGTTACCTTGTGCGAGGGGTAAATGTTTGTCTTGCTGTGAAACATCTGTCACCTCTGTTGTTTTTATGGAGTGATCTCTTATTGCGTTCCCGGTGTTGTCCTTCAGTTGTGACTGCCTGCCTAGTACGTCGCTTTCTACTTCATTCGTGGGTGCATTACGTATGACACTTCGGACGGAAGTTTATTCAAATACACCACACATGAAATGGTGGTAACACTCGCCGCGGGTCTTATATACACATCAACCTATTTATTCCTTGGTGACAAATATACATCTTCAACCGAGCTAGCAACACCCCACTGTGGTGTTGGCGAGGTCTACAAATTTGATCTAAACACTCCTTGCTAAACAACCTTTGCTATGCTGACCCAGCCCTGCACAGGCGGAGCGAGACAAGAGCATACAGGACGAGGGCTCAGCCTTCCACAGCTCAGATCCTCCCCGCCCCGCCCTGCCGCATCCCTTCATCGCATCATCTAACTAACCACTCTTACGTGAACCTCCACCGAAATCACTCATCCCCAATGTACCAGAACCTGCTTCTTATTCTTCTTCTTGCCCGCCTTATCCCCCGTCTGCTCCTCCCCGCCCGCACTATCCCCGCCAGCAGCTGCATCCCCAGAGGAGGAAGCGCCACCGCCGCCGCCCCAGGCAAACCCGGTGTCCCGCCGGGGTCCGCCCAGATCCCGCCGCACCGCGCCGCGCCCGTAGCCGAAGATGGTCGTCTGCGGCTTGGGCGCGACCGGCAGCGCGGGGAACGCGTCCTCGGATGATGCGGACAACCCCCCCCTTTGGCCGGGTTTCTTCGCGCTGCTCGCCGTGCTTGTGCTTGCGCTTGCGCCCCTGCCGCCGCCACTGGAACCAGTGCTGGCGCCGACCCAACTCGGCTGGGTTGTTGATGACGGCCGGGGAGCCGCCGAGGAACTACCGCCGCCAGGCAGGGCGGGAAACGCGATGGATGATGACGAGGCGGGAACACTACCCGCTCCTCGGGCGAAGGAAGGGTTGTAGGCGGCGGGGCTGGAACGACCCGCGGCCTCGGACATAACGGATGGCTGGCCGCCGCCGAGGCTGGATCTGCGGAGAGTGCTGTTCTTGAGTTTCAGCACGCGGTTGGAATGCCGCAGCTGCTGGGCGGCTGCCGCGGCCTGCTGCTGGCTACTGGCAGCGACACCAGGGGGGTTGGCGGAGACGGCGGCGGCCCAGCCGCTCGTGGAAGTTGTCGCGCCGTGCATGCCGCCCAGCCCGGGGAGCGAGGGGTAGTCTTCGTTGATGGCGCGCCAGTTCTGCCAGGCCCTGCGGAGCGCCTCGCCCTTCTTCTTGTCCTCAAAGAGGTCGGCGACTTCGCGCACGAGGGTCCCTAACGCGTTTGAGGATGTCTCGGTGAATAGGGCGAAGAAGGCGTCGATAAGCTGCTCCGGGGTCATGGAGCCCCGGTTGAAGGTAGAGATGTGTGAGCGGAAGGTGGACAATTTTGTCGCATCGTTGCCGAGGAGGTTGCTCGCGCGCTCGATGACGGCGCCGTGACGCGTTAGGCTAGCGCGTTGTTCCGGGGTGAGGGAGGAGAGGTCGGTGATGCTAAGGTTGTCCATGGTATCAATGAGCGATTGTCTGACCGGCGCGCTGGGCTGGTGGGATGCGGGACCCGCTGACGGCCTGGAGGGGCCCTGTGGGGACGGCCTATTTGCGGCCGACTGTATCGCCATCTGTCGCTGGAAAGCGAGCTCGTCCCTCCTCAAGGGCTGTGCAGAGCTGACTGGAAGCGTTTCAGCGTTCGGATCTGGGCCGCGCCTTCGCTGCTGTTCCCTCGCGTTACCACCCGCCCTCCTCTCCTGCTGATAGCTTTGCCGCAACTCAAAGTTTGAGAGATCCACCATCCGCGCATCCCTTCCCTTGGCCAACGAGCTCCCGTGCTCACTGAGCTGATGAGCCTTGAGATCCATTTCGGATTCAAACACCACAAACTTCTTCTCCAAGCATTCCCTATCCTGGCAGAGGAAATGGTCTCTCCTGAAGTGCTCCTCGAGCGCATTGTAGTCCAAGTAGTAATGTGGCTGTCTCGAATCTCTCCGGTCACAGATAAAGCACCGCTCATGCTTATTCCTGCAGTGCTCGTACAGCTTGTCGCTATCGTAGAAACGCGCGCCGCAGAAAGCGCAAAGCGGGTGCCCCCTAAACCCTGTCTGATCGACTGCACCCGGCTTGTCGTCGCCGTGCCGCATGTGTTCGGTCAACTCCTTGTCGGCAAACATGTCGTGTTCGTGGGTAAAGACCTTCTTGTGCCGAGTGCACAGATCGCACATCTTCTTGCCGTGGACGGAGCGGACATGTCGATGCAGATCCGGCCAACCGAGGCCGGCAAAGTCGCACTCAGGGTCAGGGCAATTGTACCTGAGCAGAAGGACCGTGTCGCCTACAATATCCTCCCCTGCGTACTTGATACCAATATTCTCATCAGTGCTAGTAATATCTGTGTTTGCATAGTCCTCGAAACGCTTTTCTGCATCATCAGTGAAGATGACGAAGGGCGCCGGTGTCTAAGCCGCATCTAGTCAGTCCCCTGGGCTCTTCCAGCTCGAGAAATACGGCTCACGTACCCGGCAATGCGGACAGTCCTTGTTCTTATAGAGCGCCCTCAGGCGTAGCGCGCAGATATGGCATGTGATGTGATTGCACGGCGCGATCGAGTGGTGGCTGATGGGGTTCGCGCAAATGAAGCAGACCTCAGCGTCGCCATCGGTGCCTTCGTCTTGGGTCTCGGTTTTGTTCTTGAAACTTTGCGGCTTGCCCGCTTTCGGCCCTTCGGCTGCAGGTTCGACAGTCGAGCTTTGTGTGCCTTGTTGATGTGCGCCGCCTCTGCTCCTCCCCCCTCTGCCACGCGAGTGGTCCCCTCGGCCGCGTCCTCGTCCTCCACGGCCCCTGCCTCTGCTTCTGTGGGCGTCGCCCCGTGGACCTGCGGGGACACTATCAGCGTCGGTCGCTGGCACAGCTCCGGCAGTTGAAGCCATGTCTGATTAATGGTCCGCCACTCTTGGGTTCCCCGAGCTGTCGACAATTGCGGAGTTCACTCCTGGAAATGTACCGTGAAGCTCGGGTCTTCAATGAAATCAGTCGTTGAAGCTTGTCAAGCAGAGAGACCCTCAGAAGCCGACTCAGTTGGGGGGCAAATGCCGGGCAAAAGCGATGCGACGGCAAGAAGGGCGTTTGCAGCTTTGACGTTGATTGTGGGGTCAAATTCCAGATTGCGGAAGCTCTTAAATAATCAGCGTGGAAACTGCCAGACTGATGGGTCGAGTCCCCCTGCGCCAATGGGAAGTGGGGCTCCACAGCGGATCTAGCCGGCAAACACCGCCCAGGGTAGACTCGCCGATGCGTCATACGCCAGCCAAACCTGGGGGACTAGCGTAGGAAACGGAAACACACAACGGTTGCCCAAGCCTCAGCTGCACTCAACGCCATGCATCAAAGGAGTCATGTCGCCTCATGAGCAGGCTAGCTTCGCCTCAAGGCTTTGCGGCCTATGTAGTCAGCGAGGTGTTCTCCTGCTCCTGATTTTGAGCTCATTCTTCATCATTAGACATCTTGAGCGCTTCCACTCCGGATGGTCCAACAGTCCCGCTAGGTCAATCGCGTTAGTGATGCGTTAGGTGACATTTGCATCAATCATCCTGGATCCACGTTGTTTGGCTAGGCGACGCAAACAATACATACACCCGACCCCTTGCACAGCCGCGCAACCACATCCAAACCTTGACCATCAGAGAAAGCAGAGGTTTGATTCTCTTGGATTCATCCGTACTATTGCAGTTGATCTTCCACCACTGCTCAGCCCGTCCCATAACTTTTTGACCTTCGCTCAAGTGCCATCTGCCCATCCATAGCTCGGAAAGAGACTACAGAATACAAATTAGGTACCCAAATGCAATATGCTAAGTAAAAGTGCGTTGATATCCCGTCTCGCTTCTGGTTCCGTCGGGTACTCTGCCTTGTGCGGTTCGACAAAGACAAAACGCAAGAAGAAGGGGAGAAGAGGAATATGCGTCTTGGTCACTCCGCAAGCCCTCGTCCCAAAGGGTCCCAAAGCACAGCCCTGGGGAGTATTAGCATGGATAGCCGTGATATAAAGCGTCGATATCAGCGAAAGAAGATAGATAGCGTGAGGCAAAGCCATGCGCCCAGATTATCCCGCTAGACCCGGTTCAGCTCGAAAGGCAGCTCCGGAGTGATACAGCTCGGCACGAAATGATGCTGAGGGCCTGCCAGATAACTATCCTCGAGAGGGGGCCTTTGAACCAGGAGGGAACAGGAGCATGCATTGCGGAGAAATTCAACTAAATAACGCGACGCCCGCCATGTCAGCAAACTGAAAAGGAGAGAAGAAGAATCCGCAAAACACGTCGGCCAAGTAGGACATCCCAAGACGCCATGCACGCCTACCTTAGCCTGCAACGCCCAGCCATGCCAAGAAAGTTAGTCTTCGATAGGGTAGAGCTGGTTTCCTAAAGCCTTGTTCATGGAGAACATGTTGATCTTGTCCTGCTTGAATACGGCTTGTAACTTTTCGTCGCACATGATTTGGCGTTTGTCGTTAGGGTCTTGAAGCTCGTTGGCCTTGATATAATCCCAGAGCTTCTTGACGACTTGGGGGCGAGACAGCTACGGGCTCCAGTCAGCAAAACGGTCCAGCCGAGTTGGGTCCGGTACATACCCGTTCCTCCCCGCAAAGCTCCGCCAGTGGAAGACTGAGATTGAAGGGCTTCTGGAAGCCGCCCCCGGACTTCCGCTTGGGTTTGCTGCCGGTCTCGGAATCGCCAGCTTCGCTTTCGTCATCGGAGCGTACCCGCTTGGCGCTCTTCTTCTTAGCCTTGGGCTTGGCTTTGGCCTTGGTGGAACCGGCGCCGCGAGTGACTCGACCGCGGGAGAGTCTATTCTCCTGCGCCTGGAGCTCGGCAGCCAAACGGGCATCGGCGTCTTCGCTCGAGCTCTCACGCTTCTGCTTCTTTTTGGCCGGGGGAAGCGATACCTCTATCTCGCCATCGGCGCCGGTGTCATCTGCGTCGTTGGATGGCGAGCGCCCGTTGACTACGTGCTTAGGGGACGGCTCGACGCCTGCGCCAGAAGTTGGGGTGGGTATCCCTTGGGCAGCCTCGGCGGATATCGCATCGAAACGGGCCTCAATCAGGCTTTTGATCGCAGTCTATCGATTTTTGCCGCGAGCGTCAGCGAAGTGGGTAGGGCAAACAGTTGCCATACCGCTTATGTGAAGAAAACAAACCTTTTGCTCGCTAAGATCCTTGTCGATGGCCTCCTCCAAGCCCTGCCGGATCTTTTTGCGTGTTACCGTCTGGAGGTCAGCTGAGGCAAGAATGCTATCGATGATATGGGTGTAGGTTTCCCTCTCCTGGTCCGTCACTGGAGCATGTTAGCAAGCAAGCGCGTGCGGTCCGCCAGGTGAGAACATACATGGGGCAGACATCGTGCCCGGGCTGCAGGGGGCATCAATTCGAACTTAGTCCGTTGCGTTTGCTGCAGCACGGTTGCACGTCGCGTGACGCGAGCGCAGAGCTTTGAAAAAGCGTCAAGTAAAGTCCTTGAGGTGACCCAGGCTTGGAGACAGGGCTAGGCGCCAGCTGGGGGTGCATAAAACGGCAACTTCACGATGCTGAAGCAGTGTTGCACAATCGGCTGGGTAGAAATAGAACGTGTTGAGGCAGAGGCACAAGGCAAGGCAACAGAGCGTGGGCGTGCGGCCGTGATAGAGGTGCAAGGGCCGAGATGTGAATCTGTGTGGTTCCTCAGTCTCGTTTTCCTGGAGTTCCAAGGTTGTTGGAGCGCAAGAACCAAGCCAACTCCAGGAAGGCTGATGATCAGCTGCTTTGCTGAGCAACCCGGGCTGTTGGACCCGGACTTGGACGAAACTGGGCAGGTGCTTCCGGCCCGCGTGATGGTGCGATCGCGACTAAGATCGAGCCAACAAATGCGGCGCTTCCAAGGAATATTCCCAGGTCATTGGTTTGGGTTTGGGCCCAGTGTTGCAAAGGTCCAGTCCAGTGGATTGCGGCGACGATGAGGCGCGTGGCTGGAAGGTGGGGAGCTCGTGCGATCACCCCTGTCCAATCAATTCTCCGAATTGCAGAATCGCTGATGGAACCGCCGCGGCACTTGAACAAGAGCCGCGCACGTGACCGGCTCATTTTTGGGAATGAACTCGGTGGGGCACTCGAGGATGCCAAGCCCTGCACTTTGCAGCCATGCAGCTGTCGTTGACTCGCTGCCGAAAGCCAAAAGAACCCCTCATCGATCAATTGTCTCGGGCGGTGTGTTCCGCATGTCCCACATCTCTGGCTCCACTTGAGACCACCTCACCTCATCCCTCAACCAACTTCACGGTAAACCACATCCTCCCTATTCAATGCTGGCTTACATCAGATGCAGCCCTTCAACAGCAACTTGGGCAAAATGCATCTCAGTAATAGACAATGCCACTCTATAAAGGTCTAACTTGCAATAATATGCTCTTGCGTTGCCGTATCAACTGTCTCCCCTCCCTGTCTCTGCATTATCATGGACATGGAGCGCAATCGTCTCAATACTGACCCCAACACATGCTCCCTTAGCAGGTAGTCACCACAACGGTGGTCATGCGGGGTACCAACAGACTGTCGGTAATTCCACCTCCAATTAGTGCGGCGAAGCTTCTAATTTGGATCTGATTCCGGGAACTGCATATAAGACCACATCCCCTTGGCTGCAGCTCCTCTTTACACCATGACACAATTAGACGAGCTTCCACGACCTCTGCAACGCCCGCTCCCAGTTTGAGAACCCGAGATCTCTTATAGGCCCAATCCTACCAGGAGCAAATCAAAAAGCCCTTGGACACTTCCCCGCCATGGCCGACTTCCCTCGGCTCCCCCCTTCAGGGATCAAAGTCATCATCGTGGGTGCCGGCTTCGCGGGACTGACGGCCGCCATCGAATGCGACCGCAAGGGCCATTCGGTCCTGTTGCTCGACAAAGCCCCTGACCTCCAACCCTTGGGCGACATTATCAGCTTCGGCCAGAACTCGTCACGCTTCTTTGCCAAGTGGCCCGGCGTGCAGGAGGCACTCACACCCCTGGTCCACAAGAGCGACGTCTTCCACTTTCACGACTGGAAGGGCAACTTTGTCACCACACAATCCTTCGTCGAGGAGCACCGCACCTGGGGCCCGCGCGTCAACGGCCACCGCGGCGAGATCCACCAGGTCGTGCTCAAGCATGCGCGGGCGAGGGGGATTGAGATCCGGCTGGGGTGCAACGTGGTCAACTATTTCGAGACGGCCGAGCATGCCGGCGTGGAGCTGCAGAGCGGGGAGCGGCTGACGGCGGACCTGGTGGTCGCCGCCGAGGGTGTTCGGTCGCGAGGCAGGAAGCTCGTCCTCGGATTCGAAGACAAACCGCAGCCGAGCGGCTACGCCGTGTTCCGGGCCTGGTTCCCCGCCGACGAGCTGCTCAAGAACGAAAGGACGCGCCACCTGGTCGAAAAGGGCGACTCGCACCACGGCTGGATCGGGCAGGACGTGCATTTCCTCTCGGCCGCCATCAAGGACGGCAAGGAGATGAGCTGGGTGTGCACCCACAAGGACGATGGCAGCATCGAGGAAAACTGGCAGTTTCCCGGCAGAATTGAGGATGTGCTGCGCGTCGTGGACGGGTGGGACCCGGTGGTGGTTGACCTGGTCAAGATGACGCCGCCCGATCGCTTGTTCGATTACAAGCTTGTCTTTCGGGATCCCCTGCCGACCTTCATTTCACCGCAGGCGAGGACAGTGCTGATCGGAGATGCCGCGCACCCTTTCCTGCCCACCTCGATCCAGGGGGCGAGTCAGGCGATGGAGGACGGCGTGGTGCTGGCTGCCTGCTTGGATAAGGCGGGAGGAAAAGACAAGGTGCAGGAGGCGGTCAGGGTATGGGAGAAGATCCGCTACGAAAGAGTGCACAAGATCCAAAAGACGGGGGTCACCACGCGCGAGCAGTGGCACAAGGCTGACTGGGAGGCGATATGGAAGGACCCGCAGTCGTTGCACCTGAAGAGGGAGGCGTGGGTGCTGGATTTTGACTGTGAGGCGGACGCCTATGCTTCGTATGATGCAGTCTTAGGCGAATTATAGCGGAAAGGGTGTGTCTAGCTCGTTTAAAATAAGGGGGTGGTTGTCCAGAGTTTTGTACAACGCCGGGCAGCCTTGAGATCAACCCGTTGATGGCATAAACAGTTCCGATACAGGAATTGACCCGGATGATAGCTAGAACCATAAACTGGTTGACCTAGGTGACTCTGAAGTTAAGGGCCGCCTATTACAGAATCATGCTAATAAGTATGGCGTTTGTATTCCAGCTTCTCCTACTAGTAGTACTGTTAAATAAAGTCAAGTAGCTGAAGTTCGTTTGTGGGATTACTTGCCACTCTACTTTACAACTCGCTCATCAACCATCGTAGATGACTAAAGACTGAAACCCTGAGGCACAAGTTGGGTACCAACTGACAGTGGGCAACTGTTAGAGACATACATGAGCGGCCGACGCGCTGTGCGCACGCCGCTTGCCTCCGCCAGCGCCCCGTTTGCTGTACCGGCGATGTTTATTTTTGCCCTTGTTTCAGCGACTTCTGCTCCAGATCCTGGCGGAGCACTGGCACCTAGCGGTTGCCCCGCCGACGGCATCGCGCGCAGGAAGGTTGGGTGCAGCTGGTTCGGGTGGTGCATTTGCTGGTGCTGCAGGTGCAAGTGCTGCTGGAGGGAACTACAGGCTCCAGCAGAGCAAACGATGATGAGCATGAATGACTGAAGTCACGGTGGAAGTCGGCGTGGGTAAGGCTGAAGGGGGTGAGTGCCCGGGCATCACAGTACGAAAGAAAACTTAATCATGAGAAGACCCCAAAAAAACCGAACCGCAAAAACAGACTGCGCCATTCTTCCCGAAAATTTCAGTCAAGGACGCCGCCTCGTCTCGCAAATTCTGTGCGGGTATCATGACAAGACAAAACGAGAGGGAAACGAGAGAACAACGAGAACAAACCCCTTTTCATCACCAAAAATGGCCCCTTTTCGAGCGCTCATGGGGCTTACCCGGAAAGGGGGGGGGTCGATGAATGGAAGTTTCCGACCTCATGTTGCCCAAGCCATTCCAGTATTCCAAGCCATTAGCGCAGACTTTAAATGCGTTGAGCGGAGTGTTAACCGTTCTTCAATCATTCAAATTGTTAGCAACTTGCAAGGAAAGCAGCTCCTTCCATTTGAGCCTTTGAGCCTTTGAGGGGGCTATACACAGTTCCTTACCACCTCATAGGAAAGAGCACCTTCCGTACTCGAGCAACTAACCACGACTAAGCTGCTTACCTAGGTATTTTGACTGAGGCGTTTATGCTCTGCTCAAGAACCGCTTATTCCTATGAGTGGAAGATTCCCAGCTTATTTTTCGTGAGGTGATCATGAACGCTGCATGAACGGTGCGTCAACCGCTCGTGGAAGCCTCCCCCCCTTACCCAGGTAAGGGTATGATCCTGAGACCTC